CTTTATTAAAGGTCCTAGGACATTAGCCTCTCTCCATGAAGTCTTCTTCACCCATGAAGGGCAAGGATGAATGATGGCTTCATTACTCTTCCATTACCATCTATCTACCTGAGTGGCATGAAATAACATTGAATGCTGGCTTTTACAACTTGATGCAAATATTATTCTAGATTGGATTCCATGACTGAAAATGTTTCCTAACATCTATCATTTATCATCTCTAATGTTGCATGGAAAGAAGCCTTTGCTTCGTACCTGTAGACGAGCAAGTGAGTTTATGGAGACTAACTAGAAGTGAAATGGACTTTTCCTAAAACACCCTCAAACCAAGCAGAATATAGTTCATCTACATTTTACGGAATCATTATGTGACAAATTGAATAAACATGTGTGAATACATATGGAATGGGAGATTAATTGTAGTGGCAAAAACCATCGTGCTTAAAAGGATAACCCCGTGACATGTGCAGAAGTGTGTGAATGGGTGGTTCCTCTTTCTGATCTTATTTTTAAAACATAAAATACAAAAATACATAGTTCTATAAATATATAAAATGTAATGTAAATTTTAAAACATTTTAGGATGCTTGATTGAAATGCTGGGCATGACTTAAAGGCATCATAATGTTAGTGCAGATGGAAATAGAATAATTCATCTATTTGAAATGTTACCTCAAGTTTCACTTCTCCTGTTGCATTGTATCAGGACTGTGTCTACGGTCTTATTTTTTTAGCTGTGTCACTGCAGGAATGCCAAATCTTAAGTTGTCATGTGGCACATAAGCTATCTTATCTTAATGTGTTTTTGGTTCATTTGTCAAATGTGTTTTGCTGTATTTTTCCTGTCTTATACAAATGCTTGTGGTTTCTCTGTATATTTAGAACAAATACTTATACTTACATATACTTACTTAAATTGCTTTGCAGTGATTACATTCTGTTGGCATGTGCTGACATTTTTATATGGGTGTTTTGTGCAAATGTAAGTCATTAGCCTGTGTGCAGATTTGGAGGTGAGAGCCACGTAACAGATTTGAAAGCAATGTTAAAAATATAACAATCATATTTCCTTGTTCACTTAAACTGCCTTTCTTACAATCCCACGTGAACATAGAATTATAATATTGTTTTAAATAATATGGTGGTTTAGTATGAATTTCAGAAATATTCCCATTCATTGTCCCAAATACATTTTATCTCCCTAAAGACCAAGATAAACACACTGTTAGTGTTTTTGTTGTTTTGCAACTGTCTTATTTTAAGAATGTCTATGGCTAGCTATCAGACAGATCGCTGAAACTTTCATTTTAGTAGGTGCTGCAGAAACATGATAGTTAAAAAAAACCAACAGTTCTGCAAAAGCTTTCAAATAGAAGTACATTGATTGTATTTATGTAATTGCTCTTGGCATCCACTTAAGTCAATTTAAGTGAAAGTTCATCCATAAAATTATCTGACTTTCTCAATCTACTTGAACCTTGATCTGTTTTGGTGTAATGTACTGGAGTTGGTAAAGATGCTTTGTGATTGGAGTCTGTAATCCCAAACAGGATTACACCACCTTCTTCTGATTCAAAATTTCCTGCTGTTGCAATATGTGTTGTTCACAAAAATGAGGAGTAATTCCCTATCAGACACTCATGTTGAGGTTGTTGCCAGGGAACAGCATTAGTGCCGTCTTCTTTCACTGCTAAAGTCAAGGCATTGTTTCTATTGTAAACTTGGTTCTCAATGAGTTTATAAACTTGATGTAAATAGTTCACTTCAGCTTCAAGTTGCATTTCCCAGGAGAGTGAATAGTTATCTTTCTAAAACCAATTTTTGCTCTAAGTAAACAAACCACATGGCGACGTTTAGGTTGTGGCATAGACATCCTTTATACTGCAATTATCCTTTCACTCAAAGAACCTTTCTGTTCTTTTCTTTGTCTTTCTTTTTTTTTTGTGTTTTCTTTTTGTCTTTTTTTCTTTCTTTCTTTCTTTTCTTTTCTTTTCTGTTCTTTTCTTTCTTTTCTTTTTTTTCTTTTCTTTTCTTTTTTTCTTTCTTTTCCGTTTTTCTTTCCTTTTTCCTTTCCTTTCTTTCTTTTTTCTTCCTTCCTTTCCTGTTCCTTTCCTTTCTTCTTTTTCCTTTCCTTTCTTTCTTCTCTTGCCTTTCCGTTTCTTCTTCCTTTCCTTTCCTTTCTTTCTTTCCGTCTTTTCCTTGCTTCCTTTCCTCTTCTCTTCTCTTCCCTTCCTTCCTTCCTTCCTTCCCTTCCTTCCTTCTCTTCCTTCCCTTCCTTCCTTCCTCCTTCTCCTTCTCCTTCCCTTCCTTCCTTCCCTTCCTCCTTCTCTTCTCTTCTCTCTTTTTTTTCTGTTCTCTTTTTTTCAGAGGACAACGGCATGCAGCATTCTTTGAGATCTGTCTTCCATGCATGTGTTGCAGTGGGGCTGCACATGTCACAAGCTCTCCAAGCAATGGCTCATCCCAGTGCAAGTGCGTGTGTGTGTGCTCTCAGTCCTCCTGTATAAGAAAACAAAAAGACCAATGAGTAACAGTAAGCATAGCTGTTTTGCTTTCATTTCAGAAAGGTTTCTACCTCAAAAGCTGGCATGGCTTTTGTTAGATTATCTGGTTTGAAGCTATATTGCTGTTGTGGCAGTGGCTGGCTACAGATTAAAAACTTCTGCAGTGAAATGTGCCTGAAAGTCCTGCTGTTTGCAGGCTTTCACTTGGGGCCTGGGGACGATCCTGGCACTACACTGCAGGAATACCTGCAGTGAGTAAATCTGAAGCTTTTGCAGAGGATCCTGCAGTTGAAATTCAAACATATTTGCAAGAGCAGAGGTTTTGGAATAAAGGCTGCAACCTGTCTGTTTACTACCAAGAAAATCATGGTGGGCTGCAAAGCTAACACATGTTTAGGCAAGGCTGGATAAGCACAAAAGTGAGTTGAAGCATCTGAGAAGGAAAGAGTAAGTCACTCTCGGGTTTTGATCACAATGTTTTCCAGCTTCTAAAGCATCACACTTCTGTTTTTTATCATACACACATTTATAAACATTTCATGATGCATTTTCTAAATATAAAGGGATGTGGTGCATTCTGACTGGAGCCATGGCAATACAGTAATTTGTCAAGGCCCTCATTAAATACAAAGAGGAGTTTTAGCTGTTTTACCTGAGATTGCATTTAGTTGGATGAAAAAATGCTGTGGTTTGATGAGCACACTTTGGTCTTGCTGCAGTCCGTGATCTGTTTGTACGTTATTTTTAATAACCAGTGAAAACTTACTAAGATATCTCTCATGTGAGGAGGAAAGTTGTTAGTTCCTTGCAATGTTAGCTGCACACTTAGAGCATACACTCTCACCCTCCAGGGCTGATAACAGGAAAAATTGTTCTCATTATCTGTGCTAGAATAGTTGTCCTGTGATGAATGAAAGCTGGAATGAAAAGCCATGAGATTGGCATCCCTTAATTCTTCGGGGAACAGAAGGTAGCAGGAGGAGCAAGTGTTTTTCACCATCTTCTACATGCCAAAACTCTGAGACCCCATTGACATTAGCTGACCAGGGAGATGGAAGTATCCCTTCATGTATGGTCAGTTCTGGGCAGGACACAGGCGTGTGCTCCAGGGTCTCTTTCAGTTTTTCCTCAGTGCTGACTTGTCATAGGATGGACACTTCTACATCCCACGTGTGCTCTTTGCTGATACCTGTTCTTCAAAGACTCCTAGGACATGGTGGAGGCTTTCTGCTCTTGCTTTTGTCCTGTAGTATCATTTCATCAACACTTATTGCTGTGCCTGCTCAGCTCAGATTTCTTTTCTCTCTTTGACCTCCCCATTACAATCAGAGAGTGTCTACAGAGATGGAGAAGGGTCTAGAGGGCAAGATGTATCAGGAGCAGCTGAGGTCCCTTGGTGTGTTCAGCCCCGAGCAGAGCAGGCTGAGGGGAGGCCTCATGGCGGCCTGCAGCTCCCTCATGAGGGGAGCGGAGGGGCAGGCGCTGAGCTCTGCTCTCTGGGGACAGCGACAGGACCCGAGGGAACGGCATGGAGCTGGGACAGGGGAGGGTCAGGATGGGGGTAGGGAAAGGGTCTGCACCCAGAGGGTGGTCAGGCACTGGGACAGGCTCCCCAGGGCAGTGGTCACAGCACCGAGCCTGATGGAGTTCAAGAAGCATGTGGTTAATGCTCTCAGCCATGTGGTCTGATTTTGGCTGGTTTTATGTGGAGCCAGGAGTTGGACTTGATGATCATTGTCCCTTCGAACTCAAGACATTCCCTTGTTCTATGATTCTGTGAGTTCTGGTACTAGTGTGATTCTGCTTGTCAACATTTCAAAAAGAGTTCAAAGTGTTTCTGGAGACACATACAGTGCTATCATCCTCTGTAGCCACAAAACTCTCTTCACAGAAAAACCATCTGGGACTTGCTACCATGTAGTTTTTAATTTAAAATTGCCTTATGACTAATGGAACTATAAAATACCTTGTCATTGTTGTAGCACATAGGGGATCCAGTAATAAATTAGAGGTCCTCCGTGGTAGGAGCCATAGATATATAATAAAGCAACAACCTCTGCCTGGCAATGCTTCAGTCTACGTTTGTATTTCTTGCATATGCACCCAGAAATAGAGCTAATCAAATTTCATACTTAAGGGCTTAAACAGTACACGGCTGGAATGTGAAAGAAATTTTCCCCATTCTGCAATATGGTAGTCCTGGAAAGTACGGACTTTGTTAATGTACAACACAAAACTCTTCATTTAACATTTCCTCACAGCGTACCCAGTTTGATTTAGGCAGTGGTTTGAGGCAGTAGGATGCATTTGGCCATCTCAGATTTATGTTCAGTGACTAGAGAACAATGTTTTAGTTTCATGTGAATGTTTTTTTCCTCCCGTTTTGAACTAAAAAGTGAAATTTATGACAAAGTCATTAAAATGCATAAATGCTGAACTGACTTTTCTGATTTACTGTTTTCATATAAATGTATTTTCTCATAATTGTTTTTCCAGATTGTATTGGTCAGTGGACATCTGGACAGCTGGGATGTTGGGCAGGGAGCTATGGATGACGGTGGTGGAGCATTTATATCATGGGAAGCATTATCACTCATTAAGGATCTGGGTAAATATTTAATTTAAAATATTTTTAATGCATTTCACTTCCAGAACATTTTGTGTGCTGTCTAAACTGGATTTTCTATTTTATCCATTCCTCCGAGAACAAATATTCATACTTAGTATAAATATTTTGCAAGTTTGTCTGTTAAACCCCTTCTTTCATCATAGGGGTCATCCAAAAGCAACACATCAATCAATGATCTAGGAAGTGCTTTGAGCCTGCATGGTCACCATTATCAGAGAATGAAAGCTCAGTGTAAGATGTAGTAAGTAGGTAATGTAGCAATAAGTCAATCTTTTAATTTTTCTTAATGAGTTCCTTCATATTAGAGATGATGAAGCTTCATGAAATCACATGAATATCAGCCTTCTGATATTTTTTTTCTGCTTTTTAAGCAGAACTGTCTTTGAGCACATTCCCTATCTTACAAGTTGCTTTTCCGGTGGCTGCTCAGTTAATTTAATTCACACACTCTTACCTCACTCTTGATAATTTCTCATATACATCTCTCTCAGGAACACGCATCTGTGACTGGATCCAGACCATGATGCTGGCTCTTGTCTTTTTTTTTTTCACCTATGTGTAAAGATAATCATCAAAACTGAGTCTAAACTTAACAGAAATTCATATTTAAGAGTCCCTTCTCCTTGAATGTTCTCCTAAACAAATTTATCTCCTGCCTAGACTTGTTCCACCAAATGCTGATAGATACGGCTAGACCATCAAGATGATAGGCTCTTAGGTTTGCATTTTAGGGCTGATTTCCTGGTCATTCATGCTTATTTTATGTTGCTGTATTCTCGGACTCTGTTTTTGGGCTGTTACAGCCGATTTCCTTGGCAAGTTAATCCAGGACAGAGGAGGCTCACACCTGAGTCTCATCACTATAGGGATATACTTCTGTCAAATTTAACTTCACCGCAGTGTCCCATCAAAACATTTTGTCTCATCAAGTAATGTGATGGTGTAGTTCCTCACAGGCTGGAGGGTGAGTGTGGCACAGCCATTGTAAAGGGGCTCCAAGGTCAGCTGTGGGAATGCAATTCATTCCCACCATCTCCCAGACTGGTCTACAGTCAGGTACTGCTGCCAGAGATCATCTAGATGTTTACCTAATTGGCACTGTATTTAAATTAGTCATGAATGAAACAGCCAGTTCATCTGCCTGTGTTCTCCTTACACCTAGCTTCTCGAAATTCGGTCTGGCGTCCTGCTGTTCTTAGCATGCTATGTGATTTCTGATCTGTGAAGTGCAAATTCCAGTCTTACTCCTTGATCTGTATTTTTTTGCTGTTTTTACTTCCATATGGGCTTTTGTCACTACACCCGTCAAAACTAGATCAAAACAGACTTGTGAGATTGTTGCGTTGATACCCGTGGATGCTTTCATCAGATGGAACCTATTTTTCCTCATCATTCCTTTTTTCCAGAACTGTAACCTGTGGTCAGTAGGAATGCTCTAAGTATTCCTTTAAAAAATAAAATCAGCTGCTGTTCCTGCTCTTGGCTCTGGCAGAGTTTAAATAAGAAACTAGCCTTTCCTGCTTCTAATCAGAAGGATTTGTGCACTTGAACAATCTGTGTTTCTTGAAGAGCTCTTTGTAGACAAGCTCTGTTATGAGATTAGCCACTCTCATACTGTAGTGATGAACATCAGACATCTTTGTGTATTGCTGTTTCTTTATTTTGCATTGTTTGAGCCCTTTATCTCTCATTTTTCCAGTCTCAGAATAACTGGCATATCAGAATGTGACTGAAAACAAAATACATGTGTTTTAATTTTTGTTCTTTAAAAGTGAACTAAAAAGGATTCTTCTACAGAAGAAACCAGGCCTACTCTTTCTTTTAGTGTTTTTAAATCTTTTTTTATGATTCTTGGAAAATTGCCTATGCTCCCTCCACCTCCAGGAACAAAAATTGTGTCTGTATTTGCTGATTCTGTTCTATTCAGAACAAACTGTTTTGCGTCTTAAGGGCAAATTCATGGTGGCATCGTATAATTCTTATTCACTGGCTTTCCTTTCAGGCATGAATGAAATGCATCACTCTCTGCTTGTTCAAATATTTGGCTTCCTCTAGTAGTAACTTGTGTGTTTGCTGTACAACCTGTGGTGAAATGCTGTTTTCTCAGCTGGGAAATATCTCAGCCTTTGCTGATGCCCTCTGTTCTGGTTAGCTGTTGTATCAAGCTCTTCTTGTTATACCAGTGTTCTGCAGGAATGTACAACTGGGAGAGAATATCTGGGTCATCCAAGCTAACCTGTAGGTAGCCACGTGGGACAGCGCCTTTCATCTTCCACAGCAGATTGGTTAGTGCAGATTTGATATCTTACGGTGCACATAAAATCTGACCCCAAAAAATGACAGCAAAGTGACTGATGTGCAGATTGTGTGAGAAGTGAATTAATTAGCTTTATCTGAAACCAATTCCATAAGTTGTATTTTCAGAGTGCGCCACTTCCAAGCATTGCCTCTGGAACTGTGGACATAAATACACGGGAATAAGCCAACTAAATGGGCTTGTCTGATGCACTTGTCACATTTTTGGGTGTTTACTGGGACTCTTAAAGTCATGGTGCGTTGTGTAGCCATGAAAACTGTGTCTGGGTGTTGTATCACTGATCTGAGAAACGCAGATACATGATCTGAAAGCTAAAGTGAACACTCTGAAATACAAATTTTACAATAAAACTTCCATTATGTGTAGTGAGGACTACTGCTTCCATGTCTGCTGTAGCCCCTTGGTTCCGTAAAAGCAAGATACCACTATGCTATTTGAGCAAGTTTTTTCAGAGGTGATCTAATAGCACTTCATCATGATACCACTGTGACCCTCGGGCATGGCAAGTGGACACAAGTTATGCCTGGTAATTAGGATTTTGGTAATTCCATGCATTATTTGAAGAAGGATTGTAGTTCAAATAGTATTCTGTACTTTCAACAAAACCCCTCCCCAAACCATTTAGTAGCTATTGGCGTAGGACCAAATACATGAAATTCATTTTAAAATCATTAAAATTGTTTAAATAATTACATTTTAAGTGATGAAGTTTATTTTCTTGCTCTGGTTAAAATACTTAACAGCTTTTACTTTTATTTCTAAATAAATCAAGTACTGAATGTGTTAAGCTTTATATTTTCTGAATCTTCAGTGTTGGCATTTATTTTACTTTAATTGAGCTGACAGCTTCTGTGCTATGTTCATATCTTTTTTTTTTTCTTAATGATGTTTTTGCGGATTTCCAGACACTATAACAGTTAGCTGGATGTTCACTGTAAGACCACACAACAGTAGCACAGTCTCAAGTAGCTTCACACAAAGACTTCAACACTTCAACTTTTTTGAGGGAAAAAAATGGAACCTATTCCTTTTGGTAGGATTTATTTTTTTCCAGTTCACTCTTTGATTTCACGTGGATGTTGCTTCTCCTTGAGACAAAAGGAGTCAGCCTTGGGTCAGACGAAAAAGCATCTTCTAGGGCGAGTTGTTCTGCATCTTCCGCACCAAGATGATGAGAACGGGCATCTTCTGGAGGTGCCTTTGTCTCTCCTCCTTTTCCAGAGACAAAACACAGGCAGCAAATTCAGAGTAAATGCCTACTTTTAGCTGGATTACAATTCAACAAGGTGAATCATGCTCTAAGTTGCTATTCCACAGCCACCCAATGCAGAAACCGAACCCCAAATTTCTGTTCTGGGTGTTTGTAGCTTCACTCTAGAAAAAAAAAAAAAAGCTTTCTACAGTGTACCGATAAATGTCTGCACTGGTCTGTGCACATGTTGGTACCAGCACAGCTTGTAGGCATCTCCTGACCTGAGTGAACAGAAGCATTTCATGCAGTGCACCCTTATCAATTTCTGCTTGCTGTCGTGCCACGCTATGCTCTGCCCACTGCTTGCTTTGCTGGAAGCCAAACTCAGAAACATTCACCAACTAGTGGCCGTTCTGCCTGATGGTATCCAAATGGGGCTTTTCTCCCAGTTAACGTTGATGTTTAACAAAGCACAAGGGAAAGAAAAATATGCACTTTTTTTTTTCCTAGCGTTCTTGAAGCTTATATACGCCACTGATTGGCAAGAACACTGGCAAGCTACTTCGTGGTTAATTTGCTCAAAAAAACAAAGAACTGGAGGCATTTCCACAGAAGTTGTTTATGTGAAGAAAGATTAAAGTTTCGGCCAGTTGGTGCTCTTTATTCCTTCTTTTTTTTTATGGGAATAGAGACATCTTTAAAGGCGCCAAGGCCCCTTAGCTGGTCTGAACTGGAAGACTCCCTTTCCATCAGTGGGGCTGTGGCTGTTACGATTATCTGAGGACTTCTGATGCTTGAAAAATTGCCCTTCAGTACTGCAGGCAAGGTTTGCAAGGCAGTAAGCTTGTGCAACTGTGCTGCAGTTTGCCTGCAGCTGTGTCTGTCAGCTGCCGCCTTCCCCAGCCCTCCTCAGTTTTTAACCTTTTGATCAATTCTAACTACATTTGATAGAGGCATAGAAATATTCAGAATATGAAGTTCTGATACGTTCTTTGCAGATGAGTGATTGAGGAGCGATGGATGAGTGCCTTTCTGTCCCAGCTGAGGAAAAGGCAGGAAGAAACTCCGCTTTTATCCTTTTATGAATGACGACAAATGCCTGTTTAATCAGCACACATGTAGCTTTGGAGTAAGCACCAGGTCTTTTTTCTTTTGCCTGTGTCTGCAAATTCTGTGGGGTAGTAGCAAATGCTGCTACTGTTGTGCGAGTATTTTGGGGGGTAATTTAGAGATAATGGGAAGGCACTAGGGGTATTTTGGGGAGAAGCAGCTGAGGGGTTCCTGTCTTTAAACAGATGTAATCCATAGGGTATTGCACGAGCTGTGATGTGGTGTGAGGGTATTTGGAAATTGTAGGAGAGACAGCACACAAGAAACTTGGGGTTTTCTTGTTTTGCCGAACAACTCTGTTACTAATCACAGTCCTGAAACCTCAAACCTGTCCTGTTTTCAGGCTGGCTTTGTAATTCT